ACACCCATGGCAGGGAAGGAAATTATAGAAAGGGGAAAACAAGGATAGTGGAGAGCATATGGAGAAGGAAAAACAAGGAAATACATAAGGAAAGAGAAGAGGATAAGTCAAAGGAAGAACATAGAAATGCATGATTGAAGAGCTAGAGGATTAAAGATCTAGACTAAGGAAAAACCGTAGGGAAATACATATAAAGAAGGAGAAAGGGAATCTATCAGATTATAACAAAAAAATAGATGACGAAGGAGAAAAGGATAGATTGAAGAAGAAACAAAGAAATACATAAAACAAAAGAGAAAAGGTTAGAATAAAGGAGAACAAAAGAAATACAAAACGAAGGAGAACTGGGGATAGATTGAAGGAAAAATAAAATATAACGAATGAGAAAAAGGATAGATTGAAGAAGAAACAAAGAAATACATAAAACAAAAGAGAAAAGGTTAGAATAAAGGAGAACAAAAGAAATACAAAACGAAGGAGAACTGGGGATAGATTGAAGGAAAAATAAAATATAACGAATGAGAAAAAGGATAGATTGAAGAAGAAAAAAATACATGACAAAAGAGAAGAGGATAGATTGAAGAGGAACACAGAAATACATAATGAAAGAGAATAGAGCATAGATTTAACCCGACACAAATAACGAGTATACATGTACACACGTACAGATCCTCCAACAAAACTGCTAAGGGTAATACTAGACTCTGTCTCTAGTCGTTTGCACAGTATATTTGACTGAAGTGGCTAAACAGTCGTGTAAAAAAAATATGCGCTTCCCGGCGGCCACGGCAGCCCCGTTTGCCCGAAACGTAGTGCGCCGTGGGATTTCGGCCATTTATTTTAATCTCTGTATTCAAGTTTTGTTAGGTCTTGCCAAGTTTTCTCACGGTTTATCACGGTTTCCGTGACGGGTCGTGGGAGGGAGAGGGGATGCTGTCCCGGAGGCTCCAAGGCTTACTACGGATCGGCCTGCGGGCTACCACGGATGCAAGTACGTTTCCTGCCGGTCCGTCACGTTCTGATGGGGTCCCTCACGTTTCACACGTTTTGATCAAGGTCTGGCACGTTTTTTTTCACGTTTTGTCAAGGCTCTCTACGGATGAAACGTGGACGCCGAGCAGCTCTGAAGCACGATTGTGCCCATGGTATGAAAAAGGCCTCCCAAACAGTAGCAATCATTGTATCCTGAGACCAGCGCATCCAGTCAGTCCACCGTAAGACCGTAGTAGAACGCAACGCGCCTTAGCGCGACGGGCGCGTAAACCGTCCCATTACGGACTGCCTCCACGTTTTTTTACGGCCTATTACGTACTGTCAAGTTTTGTTGCGTTCCCCCCGTTTTACAACGGCCTACTAGGTTCCTCATCCGCACCGTGACTGCCGTGGCAAATTTACAGTTTAAAAATCTGGCCCGGCATCCACGGCAATCATGGCTTGTCACGTTTGGCCATCCGTCCCCCCGCGTTGTCTCACGTTTTTCCCATTTTGTCCACGGTGATCTGAAACATGATTGCCGTGGCCGCCGGGAACATAGTGTAAAAGTAGCATTAGAAAAAAAGAAGAAAAATTAATCAAAAATGACTTTTGGCGCACTTTGGTTCCTCCCTGGTCAACTATGCGCCATTGGCATAATATCGTACCTTTTGCTTGTCAAGTGCAGATTGTACAGTGCAAGTAAAAAAGACTCTACAAGCATTCTATGTGTAGCTAAAAACAGTCTGAACCTCAAAGGAGCTTTAATAATGTGTTGCACCTTCTGCTTCAAAAGTTCCAAAGAGGTACAATTGACAACAACAGATGATGAGGAGTTCCACAGTCGGATAGTATCTGGGTAGAAAGTGGTTCGGAATAGCACAGTTCGGGCAAAGGGGACTTTTGTGGATTTCCACTGGTTCGGCGACCAACAAATTACAGGTATGAAGTAGGTGACTGGAAGATCAACCAGGCCGTGGAGTGCTGTAAACCATGCCTACTTTCTGCTGCGCACTTCTTTCCTGCAGACTTGCGCATTGAAGTTGATTCAGCATGGCTGTGACGCTGTTTGTGCGCCGATAGTCACCCAGGATGAAGCGTGCACAACGGCGTTGCACCATTTCCACCTTTCTGATATTGTCCTGGGTGGCCCGGTCCCACACTATTGCAGCACACTCCATCACAGGGCGTACTAATGTCTTGCACAGCAACTCCTTTGTCTTTTTGGGGCAAGCCCTCATGTTTTCTTTGCAGGAAGCACCGTACAGAGTTGGCTTTTTGGGTGGTGGCGTGTACATGCATGGTGATTACATTTCAGGTTGCTCTGGATGTGCATGGACCCCACGTACTTTGCAGTTTCTGTTACCTGTAGCTGCTCTCCATGAATGAAGTAAGGAAAGGAGGCTTTGGATGTCTACCTGTTACTAGAGACATGCATAACCTGGAATTTTCTAGGGTGGAATTTCATAAGCTAGTCTGCTTCCCATTCTTGGAGTGCATCTAAATCCTTCTGCAGGCATTCCGCATCATCTGCACTTGTCATCTTCCTGTACAATATGCAGTCATCTGCAATCAATTTCACCGTAGACTTGGCTGATATGCAGTTTGGATGATCGTTGATGAACAACAGGAAGAGAAGAGGTTCGACGACACTGCCTTGAGGAACGCCCGACAGGACGACAGAGGTGTGTGAAGTGCATCCATCAAGCAATACCCTCTGTGAGCAGCTTGTAAAGAGTTTTTCAATCCGGCCGTGGGTATTACCTCGGACTCAATAGAAGTGGATCTTATGGAGGAGTCTTCCATGCGGAAGCTTATCAAAAGCCTTTGATAGGTCCAACAGGATCACATCAATCCACTGGAAAGGTCTTGAATACTGAGGAGAAGTTGGGATGTGCAAGATCGTCTCTTCCGGAATCCATGTTAAGAATTTGACAGAATGTGAGAGTCATCAAGATGCTCAAGCCCATATAATACTGCTGCATACGATGTGTTCCGATGTCTTGCAGATAATGAATGTCAGTGACACAGGCCTGTATATTTGACTGCTAATTGGCACTGCTCTCCATTCTTAAAGATGGGAACTACGTCTGCCCTCTTCCAGTCCTCTGGAACGTCCCCTTGATTCAGTGAGGCTTGAAAAAGCATAGACAACACTGGAGTTATTTCCAATGACAGCTCCTTTGATATTAGTTGTGCATGAAGTTTGTCTGGTCGAGTAGCTTTATGTAGCAGTTTGTACACACTAGCTGGTGAGCTCCGGATTTCATCCATGTCCGGAAATGGACTTGGTCCTTTATCCTTCATGGCTGTCATGTCTTCGTTCCTTTTAAACACTGATGTTAACTGGTTATTCAGTTTGTTGCCTTCTCCTTGCTGTCTGAATTTGTCATCCCATTGGTGTCTTTTAGTGGGGCTACTCCAGTACTGTCATTCCTCTTACTGTTGATGAAGCTCCAGAATCGTTTGGGGTTTGCAGTGGAGTCAGGGCTGATGATGTTGTTGATGTATTCACTTGTTTGCAAGCTGCTTGGGTTGATTGTTTTAATGGAAATACTACAAAGTTTTAATCTTGAAAACTGTATATGAACAATCCTAATTTTCCACATTGTTTTGGGGGATAATAGTTTTTTTTTAATGACCGATTGTCCAAACTACGGGAAGTCAACGACAACGACATGGGCCTTCAGGTGACGAAATTCTAGCTTTTTTTATCCAGGATTTCCTAGGTAAAATTACCGTTCTGATTCTGTTTTCAGATTCGGGGGAGAATTTATATTTGTATTATGATTTTTAATGGCTACCATCAAATACTAGGACGTACTTCGAAGTTGGTATTTCCAGGTATAAACATTTTAGAATTATCTTTGTCTTATGGTATAATATTTGTATTTTTTCAATTTTTTAATCCCCCCCCCCACAGTAGGGCGTTTTATTGAAAAATAGTGCCGTGTTATATTGCCTGGATGGTGTTATATTGCCTGGATAAATTTAAGAAAGGAATGTGTTCATTGAGAATAATTATATCATTATTACAATGATAGTCAGCATTACTTAATTGCTTCAAAGGCAACATAACTGGATTTTTTAAAATTCTAATATCCATTCACTCTATCAAAACATCCAAAATATTTTTTTAACAATATCATTAACGGTACTTCTATAGACAAAGTCTTCTGGACAGCAAATATCTCCTTATTGTATCCTTTACCCCCACCCGAAAACAAAACAAATCAAATTAAATAGATTTATTCAATAACCACAAGTCCTGTGTATTTGCTATAGGAGGTGAAGAAATCACAACTTTACCATTTAAAATACAATACATGATGTATCTTATGTTTCAAACTCCTTAGGAATCGTTCCTTTTTAAAGCCCCACTGCACTACTTATAGCTACTTGCGCCCTTTATACAGCAAATAATGCCTTATCGGTGCCGGTTGGTTTCCCCATGATCCCCTTTTTCTTATGTTAATCGAGAGATGATTTTATGAGATAACAACCTGTCAGTGACCTTGCTGGGAGGTCTAATCCCCCTAGTCAAACTAGTGCAGACGGGTTTTTTTAAATTGGGAACATCAAACATGTTTGTTTTTTTTATTATAAAAGGGTAAATAGAAAATGATGTACATTCAAATTATGTATTCATCAAATTGTTTAATGGGTTACAAAGCCTGTCGTTTCTTACATGGTAAAAATTGATTTGGTCTCTAGAATGGGCTTATCGTGATAAAGGTTTATCATATTTATCAAGTTACTAATGATATGATTATTCAGTATATTTTAAACTGTATCGAGGTGGTCTAATGTAATCTTAGATGTTGATTGTACATTTCTTTGACACTTTGCCAAGAGTGTTCAGGAAATGTCTGAAGCCAATATTCAAGTTACAGGCTCTTCAACAAATCAAGATAAATATTCCACTCTCTCTCTCTCTCTCTTTCTCTCTGTGTCCGTCTCTCACTCTTACACGCACACATGCGTGCTTTAATACACCTTTGTGATGGTGTTTCGGTGCGTTTTCTATGAATAAAGAATAAAGTACTGGTATACCTCTGCTACTTGCTGAATTCAAGGAAATAGAGGGAGTTATTTCCTGGACCAATCACACGACTGTGTCAAGGATTTGGGCTACCTCTTATACTGGTCGAAAAACAAAGTTGTGCTCATTATATTTCTTTTAAATGAACTTGTTCTCTACAATCGCTTGGAAACGGATGAAAGTTGTGTGTTTGTTTAGTAGATCAGAGGTAAGTTTATCTACTAGTGCTTTTATTGCTTTCCAGCTTTCTCTCACTTTATTCCTCCTGTGCTTATTCTTGTCATCATTTATTCTGACTTGGCTTATTCTCTATATTAAAATCACACGGACTTTGAAGGTAAACAATTCGTGTGTGTTTGCATGGTAAAGGTAAGTATGGGATTTGTTCATAGAACGCTTTCCAGCTTTACCTCAATCATTTCTTTTCCTGAGAAGCTACACAATGTAGTCTACATCATTGTTTTCTTAATGTTTTTTTTTTTTTTTTTTTTTATTGTTTGTTTTTATTCTGTCTTATTAATAATGTGCAATTGCAAGTTCAGGTATCTACAGATGATTTTTGGCAATCGGTCACACCAGCAGTCCCTGTAAGGAGAGTCCGAAAAAAGGCTAATCAAATTGGTTCACTGCTGCCAGATCAGTTGGGATTTAGTTGACGATTCACCGAAATGCGGATCACAGGTTCGAATCTTTAGCTTAACAATAATTTAACAATCTGCGTGTCTATATCACTGCTCCTGTTCAATTTTTCAAGGCATACTGTATGTAGGTACAGCCATTTCTGTTTTGCCTATACATAGACCATACTGTACATGTATTTGGCATTGTGTGATCACTCTCACAGACACAATGATACCATTGAAATTGTATTCCATTGTATTGGTGGTGCTTCTCTTGTGTAGAAGCACTCAGCTACCACATACTTATTGTTGTATAAGAGCTAGCTACTCTCAGCAGTTCAATGGGCCGTATGCATAAAAAGTAGCAATTGCTTGCAAGCAATTGCTTCAAGCACAAGCAATTGCTTGTCAAGCAAAAGATCAAGCTCAAGCAATTGCTTAAATCCGTATGCATAACATTTTGCTTGTGCTCAAACCTTTTGCTTGCCTCCAGCAAGCAATTGCTTACGATCTCAACAATAGCGACGTCACGCCGGTGCGAACATCATTCATGGGAGAACAAAGGCGGGTTTCGCATACTAGTAGTGTATTCAAATGTCATGCGTGTGGGGTAGCCTTTCCTGACATGGCAGTATAACATTCCAGGATGACATATTTCAGAACAAAATGAAAAAAAACACCGATACATGCACACATGATTTATTATACTCCTGTACAACTTTGGTTTTTCTCTAACGAGCATAAACATGATGCTTAACCGCGAACGTCCCGATTAAGCAAGAGCTCAAGCTGCTATGACGGAGCTTGAAAAAACGTAAGCAATTGCTTATAAGAACAAGCAAAAGGTTCGTTTTATGCGTACGCCGGTTTTTAAGCAATTGCTTGATCTTTAAGCAATTGCTTGCGGACATCAAGCAATTGCTTGTGCTTGCTAGCAAAAGCATTTGCTTGCAAGCAATTGCTTATGTTTATGCATACGGATTCAAGTAAAAGGCTAGCACAAGCAATTGCTACTTTTTATGCATACGGCCCAGGGAAAGTACATTGGGGGTCCCATACTGTACTATCACAATTCTGTGTCAACCTATCATGTCAAACTACTAAGTTGTGGGGATATTAACCCTAATCCAGGCCCTTCTGGTGATGACTCAGCCACGACTTTGGATATTCATAAGATTCAGTATACGAGTGAATTTCTACACTCACTCAATTCCGGAAGTACATGTAAATGTGAAAAATGGCGTGAGGACAACACCTTGGTCTGGGGGAGGATTTTATCCCTAGGTATCGGGCGACGGCTGAGGACACATCGGGGGAAAAGGGGTGGCCGTGACGGATTCGAAGACCATCTTAAATTATGTACTATCAATGCACGCTCCCTTCGAAATAAATCCACAATCTTTAATGATTTTGTTAAGGATAACAAATGTGATATCGCTGCTATCAGTGAGACATGGCTGTCTGCATCTGATGATGCAGTCATAGCTGACCTCACTCCCCCTGGCTTTGCATTTCTGCACCACCCCAGAGCCTCCAGGCGTGGAGGTGGTGTCGGGCTCTTGTACAGGGACAATCTCTCTGCACATATTAACCAATTAGTTAACTATACAAGTTTTGAATCTATGTCAGCCGTGGTCTCCAATGGCACGACTAATCTTGAGATCTTAGTCATGTATAGACCAACAGGTTATCAATCTTTTACATTGTTTATTAATGAATTCTCAGATCTGTTGGATGAGAAATTGTATCAATTATCTCCTCTGGTCATCACAGGAGATCTTAATATACATTTAGACAATCTCTCATCCCAACACACCCAAAGGTTCAATGATCTTGTCGACGGCCATGGACTCTGCCAGTTGGTGACTACGCCTACGCACGACCATGGCCATATCCTTGATGTCATTCTAGTCAGGAACTCCGATAGACTGTTGTACTCTCGCCTACGAGTAATACCCGGTATCTCTGATCACTCTGCTGTTACCTGTTTGCTACGTTTCGACAAGCCCCAGCGGAAAAATGCAACTTTTTCCTCTCGTAATATCAAGGGCATCAACAGGACTGATTTCGCCAACGATGTTACTAACAGTAGCATCATGTCTTCAGCAACAGAGAGCGTCGATGCTGCCGTTATCCGCTACAACTCAGAACTCTGCAGGTTACTGAACTCCCATGCTCCAGCCAAGACTCGGAAAGTAAGAGCTCATCAAGACAGTCCTTGGTATAACCATGGCATCACCGAAGCGAAGAAAGAGCGGCGGAGACTCGAGAGGAAATGGTGGGACAATGGAAAGCTCCAGATTGACCGAGAGATGTTTTGTGCTCAGAGAGACCGGGTGAGCTACCTTGTCTCCAAGGCAAAACGTTCATACCACACCAGACTCATTGAGGACTGCGGCGATGATCACAAGAAACTCTACAATGTCGCCAATCGACTCTTGAACCGCAAACAGTCTTCTCCATTGCCGTCATATGTTGATGGCAATTCCATGGCTGAGACGTTTATTCAGTTCTTCTGTTTAAAAGTTAACAAAATCCGAGACAGTCTTAATCCAAATGTTATACCACTGGAACCTGTCACCTCTTCCACACTAACGACCTTTCAACATACCACCGCAGATGAAATTCTTTCCCTTCTTCGTAAATTGCCCCCTAAATCTTGTCCATTAGATCCAGTTCCTACCGTTCTTTTAAAAGATTGCGCTCCGATATTTGCCCCGATTATCTCTCACATTGTTAATCTTAGTATGAATCAAGCCACTGTACCCTCAGTCTTAAAACAGCACTTATACGCCCTTTGTTGAAAAAACCCTCTTTGGACAATGAATCCCTGAAAAATTACCGTCCTGTGTGTAATCTGCCATTTTTGTTCAAAATTCTAGAGAGAGTCGTGTTCTCTAGACTCTCAGATTATTTGCTGGAACACAATTTATTCGACCCTTTACAGTCGGCTTACCGCCATCATCATAGTGTTGAGACCCTTCTAATCAATGTTTCAAGCTCAATCTTACGAGAAATGGACTCCGGATCCGTCACTGCCATGGTCCTTTTAGATATGTCCTCAGCCTTCGACACCGCAGATCACAAAATACTTGTAAATACTCTCACAAGTCTGGGTATCCAGGACCAGGCTCTTGAGTGGTTTGAATCCTATCTTTCATGCCATTCACAGTCTGTCCTTTTAAATGGTTTCACATCCTCCCCCAGGCCACTTGGCTGTGGAGTACCCCGTGGCTCTGTGGGCGGGCCCACCTTATTTTCAATATATTTAACTGGTCTCAGAAATGTTTTTCAACGTCATTCTGTTCGTTATGATTTATATGCAGATGACATACAAGTTTTTGTTTCTTTTCCGCCGCATCAAATTCGAGCTTCCCAAACCTTGCAAAATTTGGAAAATTGCATCGCTGATATTGACGCCTGGATGAAGTCACATTCTCTGCTATTAAATCATAGTAAATGCGAATTCATTCTTTTCGGCTCAAAATCTCAGTTGAATAAATTAAATATAGACTCAATTTCTATTTCCGGTAACACCATTCCCTTATCAAATTCATGTCGCGATCTTGGCGTCATTCTTGATTCTCAAATGTCTATGTCTAAACAAATCACAAGCATTTCCAGATCAGTTCGATATCAATTGCGCAATATTGGCTTCATACGGAAATATCTGACTCGCTCGGCAACAGAGAAACCTGTTCACTCACTTATTTCTTCACGTTTGGATTTCGGCAACAGTTTACTCTATAATTTACCAAATTCACAAATTGCACAGTTACAAAAACTACAAAACGCAGCTGCACGCATCATTTCTCTGTCAAGCAAACATAGTCACATTACACCTATCTTACAAAATCTCCATTGGTTGCCCGTAAAAGAACGTATAATTTTCAAAATCCTTCTTTTAGTTCATCAAATCATGAACAGAACAGCTCCTGAATACAACCAGTCTTTAGTTCACCTCTACCAACCCACACGTACCCTCCGATCTTCCACATACCGCTTTCAAAGAAATCTTGGGGGGAACGAGCTTTTGCTCATGCCGGACCAGCCCTGTGGAATTCACTTCCACAGGAGCTGAAGAACTCCGACTCTTCAACATCTTTTAAGAGCAACCTTAAATCCCATTTGTTTAATTTTGCGTTTTGAAGACAGACATTCATTCTTTCATTTTTGTATTTTGTATTTTTTTTTCTCATGTAAATGTACACGATTCTTTGTCATGATGTAATGTGTTCCTTAATATTTTGAAGCGCCTTGAGCATTTAATTAAAATGGATAATGGCGCTATATAAATCTCATGTATTATTATTATTATTATTACTTAGTCGCAGGTTAGCCATGGTAACCGCTATCAAATCGGGTCCTTTTTAATATAAAAAGGTCATCACTTTCTTGAAATACATTGATTAGCTCGGTGAATGTCCTGTAAATATGATTCATGCTTTTGAATCGTTACCTGCTTGATAGTAAAATTAATTGCTTTTGCCCTTTAATCTCAACTTCGAATATGTTGTTGTTTTTGCTCTTTTTTTCTTTGTTTAAATCTTACAGGAAATAACTATAAGCCTAACGAAATTCGAACTAA